AAACCATCAGAAAACTGGAAGTGGCACTGTGACTCAAGTGGTAGAACACTAGCCTTGATCTGAAGAACTCAGGGGCAGCGCCCAGAACCAGAGTTCAAGCCCCACAACTGACCAAAAAAAAAAAAAAAAGAATGAAAATCATCATCCTATATTCATAGCTGGTGTTAACAAAACCACTATTTTAAAAGCAGCAGGTATGCTGGTGTATATGTGTGTGTATTTATTTTTTTGTGGTTGTGGGGATTAAACCAGGGCCTGGGTAGTGTCCCTGAGTTCTTTTTTTGTTTTGTTTTGCCAGTCCTGGGGCTTGTACTCAGGGTGTGGACACTGTCCTTTAGCTTCTTTTGCTCAACTAGCACTCTACCAACTTTCAACTACAGTTCCACTTCTGGTTTTCTAGTATTTAATTGGAGATAAGAGTCTCATGGACTTTCCTGCCTGGGCTGGCTCTGACCTGTGATCCTCTGATTTCAGCCTGCTGAGTAGCTAGGATTATAGGCGTGAGCTACCAGTGCCCCGATTATGCTGGTATTTTTAAAATGTCAGTATACTTCACATTTCCCTGCTGTTTCAGGCAGTATGTTTACCCTTATCTTTTCATTAATGCTGCTCATTAATGATAGTTAACATGGAGGGTAACTTTCTGTTGGGCACTATCTTTTTTTTTTGGGTCCGGTCGTGGGCCTGAACTCTCGGCCTGGGCGCAGTCCCTCAGCTCTTCAGCTCAAGGCTAGCGCTCTACCACTTGAACCACAGCATCACTTCTGGCTTTTTTTTTTTTGCTTATGTGGTGAAGAATCGAACCCATGGCCTCAGGCATGCAAGGCAAGCGCTCTACCACTGAGCCAACTTCCCAGCCCAGGACAAATATTTTGCAATAAGAAAGTTAACACTAAGCTTTAAAAGTACTTATTTCAAAGATACATGATAATCATTAATAAACCACAAGGTACAAAGAGTAAATAATAGTAGAAAACAGTCCACTTTGGGGAGCAGTATCACCTCAAGTCATTCATGGGAGAAAACGGAACAATGAGATTGTCTTCTCTTGGACATGCACATTGTACATAATCTTTAGTATATAGACATCTCTGAGAAGTTCTAGAGTAAGAACACCCACTGTGTCTCAACATTTCCCAACTTGACTAACCACACAATCTTTTATCTTCAATAATTTTGTCTTTAATATGTTCTACTAAATAGGTGATCTTGGACAAGGAAACCTCTCTGAGTTATTACTTAGACATTTACTATCTGATATAGTAAACTACAGTAGATTACTTACCCCACAAAATGATTGGCAGGAGCAAATGAGTTGGCATTTGTTGTGCTATCTGTATGTTCTATCATTACAACTAACAGCAACCAAGAGTTTAGGAATAGAGGTATTGTTCTCCATATAGAGACTCAAAAACAAACGAACAATGTAAATTGAGGGAACTAAAAGCTAAATATATTTTCTCTGAAGGCTTTCCTTTTTTTTAAAGGGTTTTTAAATTTTAAACCAACTAATTCCCTTCCAACCACACCTACTTTTAGATATTAAGTTATGAATAGGAGACACAAAAGGCTGTCTACATCTACTTACTCTTGTGATATATTAAAAAAAAAAAAAACTATAAACTCTGACTAGGTATGTGTTGCAAGTGGTACAGTATCTGCCAATAAACCGGAGACCCTGCCAGGCACCAGTGGCTCACACTGGTAATCCTAGCTACTCAGGGAGCTGAGATCTGAGGATCTCGGTTCAAAGCTATCCCAGGGAAGAAAGGCCCTAAGACTTATTTCCAATTAAGCACCAGAAAAACTGGAAGTGGCATTCGCTTTGAGCTGAAGAGCTCAGGGACAGTGCCCAGGCTCAGAGTTCAAGTTCCACAACTGACAAAAACAAAACAAAAAACAAACCTGAGCTCCGGAGTTCAAGCCCCATACTACTATCAATGCCCCTCCTCTTAAAAGCTACTCAGGAGGCTGAACCCTAGAGGACTGAGGTTTAAAGCCTGCCCCAACAGAAAAGTCCTCAAGAATCCATCTCAAATTAACCAGCAAAAACGCCAGATTGGAGGAGTTAGCTATGAGCAAACAAGCCAAGTGTATGAGGCCTTGAGTTCAAGCTTTGGTGTATGCGAGTGTGTGCACATGCGAGCATAAAACTGTAAACTCATGATGGTTAAAGAGACAGATAACTGGAACTGGAAGGCATATCTGACAAAGAAGTCCTCAAATCACCTATTATCCCCCTAGATCACATCTTCATCTCTTAGAAGCACCCACCTTACCAACCCAAAACCACTCTCAAAGTTTAGGGCATATTCTCCCAGCTCAGAAAGCATAAATATAAAGGCCATAGGTATGAGTCACCATTTGAATCTTTACTCCCACTTCATTTGTGGGGAATAGGATTTTTTAAAACTTTTCCTTACTTTATATTATACTAAAATATATCCTTGCTAAAACTTCAAAAGTTTTTACTCTCAAAAACACAACTAAATTCCAACCTTTCTATAGTAACAGGCTTACAAACGCACTGCCATCTGCAGGCCATAGACATGGTATGCTTGCACTGTTGTTTTTTGTTTTGTTTTGTTTTTTGGTCCGGTCATGGGGCCTGAACTCTGGGCCTAGGCGCTGTCCCTCAGCTCTTCAGCTCAAGGCTAGCACTCTATCACTTGAGCCACGGTGCCACTTCCGGCTTTTTTTTCTTTTTTTTGCTTATGTGGTGCTGAGGAATCGAACCCAGGGCCTCAGGTATGCAAGGTAAGCGCTCTTCCACTGAGCCACCTTCCCAGCCTGCACTGGTTATTAAAATGAAGTTTCGTATCAAATCTTTTGTCCTGGGACTTCTAAAGCCTTTTTAACGGATGTTTACTTTTAGCTTCGAGCACTGATAAAGCTCCATGTGTTGAAATTTAGAACTGGACTAGAGTAAAATCAAATTCTCCTCTATACAAGACTGCTGTTAAAAATTTGGGGAAAAATACCTTATTCTTAAATAAGTTCTGTTCTATTAAGAATATGATTTCTGGTTGAACTCAGGACTTGACACTAGCTAGGCAGGTGCTCTACCACTTTAGCCACACCCCTAATCCTTTTTACTTTATTTTTCAAATAGGTTATTGAATATTTTGTACCAACAGGCCTGGGCCAAATTCTACTTGCGAGCTCACACAGCTGGGAGGACAGGAGCCAGCCACTATGCACACTTTTTTGTGGTTGGTGTTGAGATGGAGGTCTAATATTTTACCCAAACTAGTCTTGAACCTTGCTTGATCTTCTGGTTTCCACCTGAGGTTATAGGCATGTGCATCCTGTTGGAATACAATATGAAACAAGAAACAGACTTTGGTGTATATGTATGTATGTGGGGGGGGGGAAGGTTGATGGTCTGGGTTGATCTTTCTGAATTACCTTTACAAATTTAATCTGCTCTCACACAAAAAGAGCTTAAGAACACATAATTAATTTACAAATAATCAATGCCTCCTTTAAATGTGTTCAGAAGTACTGAATAGCTAGTGTCTAGAAAGACTTTACCGAGCCTTACATTTCTCTAGCACACATGAAAAGGAAAATTGCCGTTTGTTTTACATTGATTGTGTCAGACATTTAAAAAAATCTAGATGAGCTGAAGGAAAAGCAAAGAAACCAGAATGAAGGAAAAAATGGACCCTAACAAATAGCCAAGTGGTCTCCACAATTTCCACAATGTAAAGCTTGGTCTTATCTGGGAAGAGGTAACACATGTTACTTTTCACATCCAGACTGACACAGAGAATATTAAATCTAGAGTTGTCAAAACCCAATAAAGCTCCATCAAGGTTGGCAGAAATATCAACTATCAGTTGAACTACGGTTCGTACAATGCTGTAAGAAAACCCAGGAGTCACATCAGGTGGATAGTTTCTGCAGTTCCCTGGGACTACCACGTCCAAGTCAGTAAGAAAGAAAGTTGATAGTATTAATTTGCCATGCCTGAAGACCCCGGGGAATTTCATGGGACATGGGATCTGCTATGCCGCAGGGGGTGGGAATTCTGTGTACAGAATGAAAGCCAAAAGGACGACAATTAGCCCTGTACTCCTAGGGCAGCGTTTCTCAAAGTGTGGGATGCAGAATAACTTCAAGAGGAACAAGGACGCAATGTTGATTTTAATAGATAGGTATTTATTTTCTTTTACGAGCATTAGAAAAATCACTGGCTTCCCGTTACGAGGCTTCTGATTGAAGTTTTCCGCTTTGAGCAAACGCGTTTAAGCAATAGAGTCCGTTTAAAAGGGGGAAAAAAAAGGTAACGTTTAGTAAATCGTACAGATGTACATCGTCGAGGTGCGACGCGAGAGGCTGACCCTGGGGAGACACCGTTACTGGGGAGCCGAAGGTGCCCGCGTCAGGACCCTGGAAAGCCAACGGGTTGTGACCCAGGTCCGCGTCCCGTTCTCTGGGTCCGAGACTATCAAGTGGGCGGGGTGTCGCACGACCAGACGAAGCCTGGAGGATGCGGTCAGGGAGGCCCCGAGGCAGCGACGTCGGGGGACAGCTCCCCAAGGACGCCGCACCGTGCCGCCACGCCCCCCCCTCCCCGAGACCGGCCGCCCCAAGCGCGGGTTCGAATCCCGCCTGCGCCACCGCCGCGCCGAGGCCCTGCAGGCGCGCGTCGGCAGGGACCCGAGGAGGGGCGCGGCCCGGCCCTACACAGGAGACCCAGCGGTTCCACCGACAGTTCACGCACACGCGGACGGCACGCCACCGGCCGCCGACCTCCGACCTCCGCCCACCGCGGGCTGCCGGCGCAGGCCCGAGTGTGGGCCTGGGCCCGGGCCTGGGCCGGACGGGAGCCGGCGGCGACCGCGCCCCGCTCCGGGCATGCGCAGACCCGCGCGCACCCGGGAGAAGAGAGGCCGCGGCCGCGCGTCCACCGGCCCTCCCGCCTCAGCTTCCCCTCAACCGCCGGCCCCTCAACCCTACGCCTCGGCGGACGGCCACCGCTTCCCGGCACTCACCGCTACCAGCGCGGCGGGCTCCTGGACGCTCCGTCGCCTCAGGCCCGCCGCTGTCGCCTGAGCCTCAGCCCGCTGTAGGACAAAAGCTCTACCAACCGACCGGCGCGGGCACGAGGCAATGGCGGCCGGGGCGGAGAGTGGCGGTGGGGGCAGAGGGCGCGCACGCAGCGGCAGGCGCTGCGGTGTCGCAAGAGCGCGCGCGTTTACGGCAAGACGGAGTTGAGGCGTCGGTCTCCTTGACGACGAGGGCGGGGGAGGGAGTCTGAGGCGGCGGTTGAGAACGCCGGGCGTTGCCTAGTAACGGCGTCCCAGGTTGACGGTGGGTTGCAGGCCCGCCCTCCGCTCTGAGGACTGGAGCTGAGCCTTCTGTTTCCAGGGAGCATTCCTCCTCCTAAAATGTGGAAACAGAGCACTTAAAATCCCCAAATACCTGGGCTTAGTCGCATCAAACTAAAAACAAACCCCCAAGCTCCTGAACAAGTGTGTATTGGAGAACAGGATTTATAGTCCCGCAACCGCGGGATCGCTAGGAACAAAGAACAGAGAAGCCTGGGGCGGGGGGGGGGGCGGGGGGAGCTGTATTTAAATTTACATTTAAATAGGTCGTAGTGTCAATTCGTTTCACGGATGTGAGGCAAAAGGCTTCTGGAGATTGTCACAGGTTCTTCTTGAGTTATTTATTTATCGTGGAACAGTGATTCAATGTCAGAAACGAATTCCCCAGCTTGTAACTGCCGACCGTGAAGCCTGTAAAACGCTGCTCCGCGCCCCCCTCCCCGGGCCAGTTCATCTAGAGAGTCTATTTGTCACAGGGAATGAAATTTGCTCACACAATTCTAAATACACTCTATTAATCACAGTCAGCCCTGTATGAATCCGGCCTGGAAACTCCCGAGACCCCAGAGGGGCTAGTTTTTCTGCTGGTGAATAGTGCATGCTAAGTAAAAGCTGTGGCTGTGGAATTGAAAGGCTTCCAGCTCAGTTTCTCTGACACCTGGCATCATCATAGGTTCACTCATTTACTCACTGAATGTTTTATTGTTTATCTGTAATGGCCTTGTAACTTTACTGTTATATACCTGGTTGATAGGCATTGTTCTCTGCTCTCTTAGAGAGTGGTCTAGTGGACAGAATTTAGGCAAAAAAAAACACCCCAAAACAGCTTTATGTGATGAGCCTGCCTCTAATCTCAGCTACAGGGGAGGCAGAGGTAGGAGGATTGCTGTCCAAGCCCTTGAAAGGGTGCAATGGAGACTCTATCTGAAAACTGCTAAAGGGTAAAAAGACTGGGAGTGTGTCACTCAAGTGATACAGAGCTTCCCTAGCAAGCATAAGACTCTGAGTTCAAACTCTAGTACTGCAAAAAATATATATTCTCGAGTGTCTAATTTCAAATTATGACTAAGTGCTGTCATGGAAAGAAATAGGAACCCTCAGAGGGTATGACTTGGAACCTTAGTTTCCTCACAGGTAAAATGGTTATTGAAATTCCTGTTTTATAATAGACTCCGTGAAACTTCAGACAAAGACAAATCATAGATGCTTTAAAAATGTTCATTTTCATTCTTTCTAAAGTAGGCCCTAAAATATGAAAATTTAAGAAAAGCACATGAGAAGAGGTTATCAGGATAATCAAACCCAATTCAAAACATGGTTGGTTTCTTGCACTTGACTTGGGTAATGACTTTAAGCCAAAACATGTATTCATTGATCCACTTGATAAGCGTTTAAAGAGCGCTTACTCTATGCTTGGTTGTGCAGCTAATTCTTGTCCTCAGGGAGCTCACAATCCATTAGAGAATACAAGTCATAATAACACAATATGTCATGAGTCTTTGATGATAGAGGAGCTAGTTAAGTCTATAAGGAGAGAGTCTTACACAGAAACAAGCGTTCAGACATGGTGCTTTTCCATTTAGATGTTTGCCTTACAAAATAGGTAACGTTTATTGTATGTCCATCTTACACTAAATCCTTCACAAATCTCATTTGATTCTCAAAATAATCCTATGTATTGGATGCCACTTTTACAGATGTGGAAGCTGAGATCATTTAATTTGCTCATGGTTCGATGGAGAGTATGCTGCATGCCCAGAATGAAACCTCTGCAGCTTTGTGCTCAAACATGTGCTTTTAACAATTAGCAATGATGTCTTCTGAGATAAGAAATTCTCATCCAAGCCAAAGGACACCCGATTCTTGCATAGCTTCTAACCTTTCACTGGGAGGGGGTGAAAGGTTTGCCATAAAGTGAAACTCTGCTATAGTAGATGCTACCTGATTTCTGTCAGATGGCTCTTTGATTACAGTTTCCTTGGATTATGCCTGATAATGGGATTTCTATTTCTGATAATGGTAGTTCTATTTCTAGTTTTTGAGGAATCGGTACTTTTTTCTATAATAGATGTTCTAATTTATATTCTTATCAACAGTGTATTAAAGCTCCCCTTTCTCGGCATCCTCACCAGTATTTGTTTGTATCTTTTTTGATAATGGTTATTCCAACTAGGTTGAGATATTTCCTTGTGGTTTTGATTTTCAGCCAGAATTTTTTTTTCTAAAGCTACTTTTGACTAGCCACCCCCAGCTCCAACATTATGTGCATAGATGCATTTTTCTAGGTAGATTGATTGATATATCTTATACCTAATTCTCAAAGGGCTCATAAGAACTGATAAGAATCAAGGCATTACACATTGGTTAATGCTGACTCTGATGGGAGTCCTGGACCATGGGACTGGCAGAGAGAGACAAGGAGAGAATGTGGAGTAGAGACAGAGGGTTGTAGCTTGAGTAGGCAACCCTCGGTACTTCCCCCCTTGATGGGAAGGTTACCTAGTGGGTCAAGCAAACAACAGATCTCCATTGCTCTAAATTCTTTGACTCAAGTTTCTGGGGGAGAATTTACCATTTTCTAACATTTTGGTATATTCGAACCTAAGGTGTTGATCTGAATGGTCTTGGTTCATTTCTTCTCTCCACCACATCCTAGCTGGGCAAACTTGGGCTGTTCTTTAACCTTTCCACCCCTCCTTTTCTTCAGCTACAAAGAGGGGATAAAAATAATGCAAGCAGAGGTCGGTCAGAAGTATGTTAAAAGGAAGGAGTGTGCATATATCACAACACAAAGCTCCCAGAATCAGGCCTGGGTCCCCAAGTGTGCTCATTAGCTCTTTATCATATACCATCCTTTTCTACAAGAGAGTCAAATCTAGGGATCTCTATTGTTGCCATAACATCACCTACTTTTTAAAGTAATCCACATGGTTTTGATAATTATGACATTTGCTATTTCACATTTAATCATTCTGTTTCTACAATCATGTGGGATTTACTCAGGAAAATATTGTTTAAAAATTATTTTCTGTGTGCTAGTATTGGAGCTTGAATGCAGGGCTTTGCACTCTTGGTTGGCTTTTTCACATAGCTAGTGCTCCACCACTTGAGGCACACTTTCACTTCCAGTATTTTTTGCTGGTTAATTGGATATAATAATCACTTGGATTTATCTGCTTGAGCTGGCTTTGAATATGATCCTCGGACCTCAGCCTCCTGAGTAGCTAGGATTATAAGTGTCTATTATTATAGAATAAAGAAATTATCTTGTGTTTATGCTAGTCAGATGACCAGATCAAGTTGATTAATGCCCCTTTCCTTTGAAATTCTCCAAAGATCTATTTTGTAATTTTTTTGGGGGGTGGGGGTCCAGTCGTGGGCCTGAACAATGAGCCTGGGCGTGTCCCTCAGCTCTTCAGCTCAAAGCTAGCACTGTACCACTTGAGCCTCAATGCCACTTCCAGCTTTTTTCTTTTTGCTTATGTGGTGCTGAGGAATCCAACCCAGGGCCTCATGCATGCAAGGCAAGCGCTCTACCACTGAGCCATCTTCCCAACCCTCTATTTTGTAATTTGTCTCTGTGTTGTGGTAGATGAATAGAATTTCAGCAAGTAATCACACAGAGACAGAATGATAGTATCAAAGTGCAACACAGGTCAGCAAGTTGGTGCTTGCTGGAGATTTTCAGGAGATTCTGATTCTGTGAATCCTAGGCAGAACTGGAGAAAACGTATTTTGCTGTTGCTGCTTGTTTTGTTTGAGATGGGATCTTGCTATGTAGCCCAGACTAGCTTCCAACTGACCATCTTTCTGCCTCTGCCTTCTGAGTGCTAGAAATATGAGCTACCATGAGAATCTTATTTTTTTTCCAAAAGAGCTCTCAAAGGTTTGCAAACCACTGGACTGGGTAATTAAAATTGCAGAGATAACATAGCAAGAAGCTATTTCCCAGGTGTCACTAACTTTCAGAGCTCTTCACAGGCACTAAAGCTGAAGATGTTAAGTCTCCCTTGTACAGTTCATGCCTGGGGAACTGGCCAGGTAGGAAGAGCCTGAATCTGAAGGATGAGTGTTTCAGATTCAACCTCAGGTGGCTGTGTCTCTACTCACACAGCTCCAGGGTCTTTCTGTGATCTATCTACATCCCTAGTTTGGGCTTCGTAGCAGTCATTCTCCTTACTAGGAACCCCAGCATGCTGAGAGAAGAGACATTACCTAAAAGAACCAGTCCAAATCATGGTGTTGGTGATGATTTAGGTTGATCTTGTTGTAAGGTGAATTATCCAAGAAGCCACATTTTGGTCGATGGAATTTTGGAGTCTTTATTACACAATTAGCAGGCTTCATGCAGCCAGTTGTTACAAAGGCCTGCAGCCCCCAAATACACATCATACGGTTAGGAAACAGGCCAGAGAGGAAAGAAAGAACAAAAATAATACCAACAAACCAATTCAGCCCCAATGGAGAGCTGAGTTGGGACACCATGATGACGGGAGATGAGCCAGGAGACAGTATGGCTATGGGACCCAATAGAGTTGGCTTCCTTTGTGATGCTGTCATATTTCATGCATTTACAGGTCTGTTTTTTTCCTGAGAAAGGTCCATAGAATTCTCCAGACAACCAGAAGAATCCACCTCACATAAAACATTTAACCTGCCGGGTGCTGGTGGCTCATGCCTGTAATTCTAGCTACTCAGGAGGCTGAGATCTGAGGATTGAGGTTCAAAGCCAGCCCAGACAGGAAAAGCCTGAGACTCTTACCTTCAATTAACCACCAGAA